CGGCGCCGCCCCTCGCGCCTCGGCCCCCGCCCGGCTTTGCGCTCCCCTCTCGGCCCCTCTCCCCCGGCCCGGATTTTCTCTTCCGCCGCTCCTCTCCCCTCTCGGCGCTCGCACGCGCTCTCGCCTCCTCTCCCAGGGTTCATTCACATTATTGGAGCGAAGGAAGCCGAGGCTCGGGTTCCCAGGAGGACGGAAGGGGCACCGCGTTGCCTGCCACCTCGCTTACTCAACCCGGGACACCCAGCCTTCCCTTACTGGCCCTGGGGACTCTCTCGGTTGTGGAGTGTGTGTGCGTGCGGGTGGTGGCCCTCCTTTCCCCGCGTACGAATCTGTGCCTTTACCTGGCGATGGGTGGGGTAGGCGCAGTCTGGCAGTGGGAGTGTTCGGGTCAGATTTCCAGAAGCCCCAGATGTGGGTCCCAGCTGAGAGACATTACAGGCCAAGCCGGGCCCTGGCCCCTTCCCTCCCCCTCTCCCCCAACTGCTCCCGCCTCCCGCCCGCTCCCCCAGGGGACCCAGCCTTTGGGGTTGAGGGAGAAGAGAGGTGTCAGCCAGAGGTCATTTGGGAAGAACAGAGAATCCCTGTTTGACAGAGGGATGATGAGGTTGTGACTGAAGAGGGGGCTCCCCTCCATTATTGCATTTCTGGTGGTCTATTCCTGTGAGGCCAGGAACACCCCAGTTGTATTCGATTCAAACACCGCAGCCCTCAGCTGTTCCCCTCGTTCTTCTAGCTCCTTCTTGAATACCTTTATTTCTTTTTGCTTTTCCCTCTACTCGAGCTTAACTGGCTTTCCTTCACCTCTGTCCCTTTATTGCCAGTCTCTGCCTCAAGCCCTGCGGGCTTCATTTAATTGCCTTTGCTGCTGGAATGATCCCAACCTGGACACACTCCCTTGTCCTCGAAGCCAATGCAGGCTTCTTCTCCTTCAAAACCCAGCTCCAAACTCTTCCCTCCAGGAGGTCCTCGGAGACCAGCCCCGGGGCATCCAGCGTGGCTTTACTTCCTCCCTTCCCAAAGCTCGTGTGGTTGGCATCCTTGATGACTGTCCCGGAGCTGCTGCACTGGACCCCCAGGAAACTGAAAGAAGTATGCCGAGAGCTGCTGGTCTTCTCGCAAGGCGCAGCTTAAATTTCACCTCCATTTCTAGCACCTTCCCTGGCCCCCACGACCCAAGGAAAATTAATGACCTCCTGCTAGAATTACTGGTCTCTCTTCCGTGAGACTGTAAGGCTTTCTCACGTCCGCCGTATATGGGAAGTGCTGAGGAAATGTTTGCAGAGTGAAAGGTGTTCCTTGTCCCCTGGAAAATTATAGTCTGATTGGGGGGAAATAGAGCATATAAATAAAACCCAAGATAATGTAGCCCAAGGCCCAGACTGGCTGCATTAATTCGTATTTGTGGCCCCTTCTCCTGCCTTTGGGGTGTCTGTTCATGCCTCCCCAAAGTCTCAGAGGATGAGAGCTGCCACCTGTATTTTACTTTCACCCACCTGCCACCTGGTCTGGGGTTCTGCACACAGCAGGTGCTCAATGTATGCCTGAAGGTGCACACCAGGTGTGAGATGGCTTACTCTGGCTCAGAACAGGGCTGCCTGCCTATGTCCCTAAGAGCCACAAGGATAAATTCTGGGTTCTGTTCTCAGAGAGCACCCAGAAAGATAGATCTCAAGCTTTCTTTTTCTTTTTTTTCTTTTTTAGGAGCTAATCTTTGCCTCAAATTAAATCTTAAACAGAAGCCCAACATAAATAAATCAGGTCTCCTACCAGTTCGCCATGTAGGTAAAAGCTGGCATTGCTCTGGTTAAATAGGGGACCCGGAGTACCTGTACCTACCCACCTGCACCACTCTCGGCAGCCCCCAAAGCACCCCTGTGGACCTAGGTTTCCACAAAACATGGTGTGAAAACCAACATCCTGAGCCAGCTTCTGGGTCCCTCGGGGATATCCCTTCCACCCTGTCCTCCTTGCAGTCTTCCTCAGGGACTTTGAGAGAAATAAATGGAAACAAGATAAATGGATCTTATTTATCTGTGGGGTGGAGCGGGGGTGAGTAGCTTCCCTCAATCTGCTCTTAGGTCTGGGAAGTGACACATGGGTGGTGGGGCCCTCTTCCAAGCCAGCGATCCTCATGTTAATTCCATGGAAACAGAACAGAAATCTTCATTCATCAGAGCCCGACTGGATCAGCTCCCACCAGCATTCCGAGGAGCATGTGGGAGAGTGGAGACAGCCCTGGACCAGGAGCCAAGATGTCAGCATCTCAGGCTGGCTCCATCACTAACTAGCGGGTGATCTTGGACAAGCCAGAACCACCTGAGCGAAAGACACCTCTCCAGTCCCCCTCTCAGAGTGCTTTTGAGGGTCAAATAAAGTAGCCTTGCACACTGCATACACTTAGCCACTTAGCGACCATTTGTGGAATCAGTAGTAAATGCTCCCTTTTCTACTTTTTTTTGGAGACAGTGAGCCAGACACTGTCTAGCGGATATACGTTACTACATCATCTGTTATTCTCACTGTTATCCCCCTTACAATACCTGGGGAATCCGAGACACAGAGAAGTTGAGTAACTTGCTCAAAGCCTCACACCTGGGAGGTCTCAGCTCAGATCCCGATGACCAGAATATTTCAAGGGCACCAAACTGCCTCTTTGTCTTTGTTGAGGGCCGCTTGACTGTGTTATATATTACCTGTTGGTGTGGGGGAAGGGGACTCCAACAGGGCTTGGCAGTTTGCCTTTCTATCTGTGGACGCCCACTGGCAACCATGCTTAGTCCTGAGATGGCGAGGGCGTAGACTGTGGAGTCAAGTAAGGACTTGACCGCCAGTGAAGGGAGCTGGAGCAAACTCAAGACTGTCTGAGACCGTTCATCATGCCTGGGTGAGCACAATTTAAATCTGGAAATTTCTGCTCAGCCGGATTAGAGAACTCTAAGTGGCAGTATTTAACTGCTGCCTGAGGTCTCTGGAGTTTCTCCCATGTGACATTTCCAGATCTGAGGGAGGGATGTGTCTTTTGCTTGCTCAGGAGGAGATTCTGGGTTGGTCTTGTTCTGGAGAGACTGGACACTTGGCATCTTCCCTTCCCTTGGGGAGCTGCTCAGTGTAAGATCTACTGTTGGGGAGAGGGGCGAGCCATCGCACCTCTGTGGACGGCTGAGCGGGTGGAGATATTTAGACCAGTCCTTCAAAGCTGTCTTTTTCAACACAAACTGGTTTCTTTCCCTCTCACCAGATCATTTGGGTAATTACCACAATTCTTCACTTTACTTTGGCTGTGAAGACAAAGCTTTAAAATGACCTCAGAACCCTCCGACGATCCCAGCTCCAAGGGGAGGCTGCGGGGCGGTGGCTGTGGGAGGGGAGTGTGCATCAGACTGTTCACGCTGTGTAACGTGCATGTCAAAGCCGCCCAGCATCTGCAGTCAGGGCGAGAAGGAAGGCAGAGGCCCTCCGCCAGCCAGCGAGGGGAACGCGGTTCCGAAAGCCCTCATTAAAAGCTTTGCTTTCCCCCTTTGTCCTCCAGAAATAATGACCTCTAGGTGGCAACTTTTTGTAATATCTCATTTCCATGCCCAAAGCAGATGGTTCTGCTGATTTCAGAAGATTTAATGGGGGCGGTGAGGGGGATATTTGAAGAACCAGGAAGATATTTCCAGTGAATAGACATAAAGAGTGATTTTGATTTTCTATAGCAAAGGGTTGGGGATGAGTCTTAGAAGGTTCCGGGGCTTGGCTCCGTGTGGAGGCTTATCGGCAGCCCATCCAAGCTGCTCAGAATCCAAGAAGAATGCCTCCAGATCCTGGTACTGACAGCCTCCCCTCCATCAGATTATGCACACTGCAAGAATGACTTTTTTCTTTTTCTTCTTATTTCAGTAGGTTCCTTTGAGGAACAGCGCAGATCAGAAAAGGCTTCTTGGCTTTGTGTATTCAAGTTTATTCCAATTCTTTTGCTTATCACTTATATCCCATTCAAGGTGGTTGGAGCTGGATAAGCAGCCTTCTTTTCTCAGCTCCGCCACAAATAAAGCGGGGGTGTGCTCCCCGTCTCTACGCCAGGCCAGCCCCTAGAGGTGCGGAGGGAAGCGGTGGCATTTCCTGAGTACCCTGTGTGTGCATCATTTCGTCTCATGGCAACAACCATATAAGGCGGATGCCTTTACCCCCATTCTGTAGGAGATGCACCTGCAGCTAAACAGAGTCAGTGACTGAGCTGGGATTTGAACCCAGTTCTGCCTGAGCCCAGCCAAGGTCTGCCAGCTACCAGAGGGTGCCGAGGTTCAGGGTCTTCGAAGTCCCTCTGCCCACATCTCCTTCCTCCTCCGCTCCTCTTCCATGTATTTATCCAGATGAAATCAGGCTCAAATGACTAGCAAAGTCACAGGAGGCCAGAGAGATTAAGGAAGGGCTACACCTTGCCACCCAGGGGCAGGGAGGTGGGGGGGGGGCGGGATGGAGCACACTCCCCATTTCTTGGGTGGGTAGGTCGAGCGGGACTGATGTCAGGTGCTGGAAGCCAGCCTTAGGAGCCTACCCTCCTCCTCCTCCTTCCTGGTTCCTACTCCCAGTGCCTGCCCTGGTGCTGGCCAGAGCGGAGGGCAGAAGGACACCCCTGATTCGAGGTGC